TTAGGCAAGTGATATTACCTGCAAGGTTAGCAGCTTGAATTGTCGAATTTCTCTGTTTTAGATCAAATTCTGCTGGTACAGAAATAACAGCATTGGCAACTGGCATTCCAAGATATTCCTCTGCCATCTCCTTTAATTTCAACAACAGTCTAGAGCCAACATATTCTGGGGAAACGGTGATCGTCTCATTACTTGTCACAGAAAACTCAACCATTCCATTTTTGTTTAAAACCTGTGAATAAGATTTGCAAAGATAAAAAAATATATATATAAAACTGTGTGTGTATATATCTACATATACATACATACACATACGCTAACACACATACATATGGAATGTATTCAATCAAAACTTACCTTTAAAGGGTCATAAAATTCATTTGTTATCTAGCAAGTGCATTTACTAAGATTAGAAGTTATTAAAAGTCATACTTTAAAAGCTATAAAACGAATCCACTCCACAGTTCTCAATAAGAGCAGAAAAATAAAATTCATTACTAAGCATATAATTGAAACATAGAAGATTCTCCATATATATCTGTTAAATGAAAGAAAAGATGAATGATAAAATAGAAGGAATAACAGTGGCTAAGTCATGTTTGTGACTCAAGATCTTCTTTTTTAAAAAATTAATTTATTTCCAAAAGTAATAGATAATTGAAAGAATGTTCTGGTACATATTAACAAGAATAATTTTAGTACTTCGATATGTTCTTATCTAAGAATCAATATCACTCACATTCTTGTTTCCATGGAAACATGTATTAGCATCTTTTTCCTGCTAATGTAGTTGTACATTTGTACATTTAAAAAATTAGACTAATTCTAAAACATACTAGTTTCACCAATAGATTGTATTAACATCAATAGTAAAAGAGAATTAGTCTGTTCTAAGAAATTATAAGAAGTTTACCCCAATCATTCAAGACTACATAATTAGTTTTCAATTAAGAAAATCTGACCTTCCAAAAAGTATTTTACCTGCCTGGGGAAAACAAAAACAAGCTATGAACACTTAAAATAAGGTCCTTAAAATAAGACCCAAATATACCAGTACCTTCAGAGTGATCATGAAACAGAAACAACAAAAAAATATGATCACTTAGAAACTTAAAACAAACAAAAAAAACCTTTAAAATAACTCTTGGATCAATAAGTAATGTACCCAAAGCTGTAGAGGAAACTGTATAGCCTTATATGATTTTATCATTACATAACAAAAATTACAAATTAGTAAAGGGTCTTAAGAAAGAAGCTAAAAGAGAACAAAGAAGTAAACCTAAGAAATTCCTGGAGAGATTGTTTTTTTGCTCCTTTGAAAATGAATAAAAATTTGAGAATTTTTATGATGCGTTAATCAATAAGCAGCACTGATACCACTACTTTAAAATCTATTTATTTAGAATCTCACTTCATAATTAACCAAAAGGGTGGGGGGAACCCTACATGGAATAAACATTTAAATGTTTAAAAGAAAAAAAACCCAGCAAAACCTAAACCTACAAATACTTATATAAAAGCATTAGAAAAAAAGTACAAGTGGATAGGATGGGAAAGGCCACTGTAAGCATGGTAAGAGTCCAAAAACATTTTTAAAAAATTATTAAGAGATGATTTTACCACATAAAAATTTAACAGTCTTGACAGTTCAAAAATAAAATTATACGTCAGTTTTATTAAAAAAAGGAAAAAATACTGAAAACACATCACAAAGGTATTTTATAGTCATTAAGGGAACGATAAACACCCCAAAAGAAAACAGGACAAAGCTTAAGAAGTGGATCACTAAAGAAAATGAAAATGCCAATAAACACATTTTTAAAAGTCTGACCTCAACAGAAATCACAGGAATGTAAATTAATACAAGATACCATTTTTTATTTATCTATTGGCAAAGATTGAAAAACAATAACTAGTGAAGATATAGGCAGTCTAAAAAATAGGTAAGGGCACATAAACTTTTCGGTGCACAATCTGGCAATACAAATCAAAACACTTAAAAACATGCAATCATTTGGCCTATCAATTCCAGTTCTTGAATTCAAATTTAGGAAATTATCAGAGAAGTGTAAAAACATACATGTACAAGGATATTCACTGAAGCTCCAATAATAGTGGAAAACCAGGGAAAAAATAAAACTTACACTGACAGAGAATGGACAATTAATTGGCGGAACAGTCGTTTCACAAAACCATGAAAGATAATGATGTGAGCCCACTGACTAACTGTCCATGATATATTGATGAGTTTCAAACAAGTCATTACACAGCATGCCTAGTATGATCTCTTTTTATGTATATAAACATGTATACACACAAACACAGGAAGAATATCTATTTATCCATCCACCCATCTATAGGTACGTGGGGCTTCATTAGCCTCCGGCTACAATGAAAGAGCTGTGCAGACATTCTGAGGATAGCAGAGTGAGGAGAGGGTAATGTCCTAAGTCCTCAGTAATACTGCGGGACCACTGAATTAGCTAACCCTGGAGCTGCTGTGGGATTGTTTGTTATATGAGATAATATAACTTCCAGGCAAACTGAGTCTGTTGAAATAGAATGTTTTGTAACTTGAAGCCAAAGCATTAATTTTTTTTTTTTTTTTTTGCGGTATGCGGGCCTCTCACCGTTGTAGCCTCTATCGTTGCGGAGCACAGGCTCCAGACGCGCAGGCTCAGCGGCCATGGCTCACGGGCCCAGCCGCTCCGCGGCATGCGGGATCCTCCCGGACCGGGGCACGAACCCGTGTCCCCTGCATCGGCAGGCGGACTCTCAACCACTGCACCACCAGGGAAGACCCAAAGCATTAATTGAAACAGTATGCTGAACTAAAGTTAAAATAGATTTTGGCTTCACTTACCTTAAATGGGTATCTGCCAATTTCAGCTTCTAGCTCTTCTGGGGTAAAAATCTTGCCTATGAATCTTTTAGCGTCATATATTGTGTTCTGAGGATTTGAGTCCGCCAGCTCTAAGCTTTCATACCCCACATAAACATCGTTGTCAGTAAAGGACACCATGCTGGGTAGGCTGACGTGCCCATTTTCATCTGGAATGACCTTTACTTTTCCTGTTCCAGGAAAAAACACCCCAACTGAACAGTAGGTAGTGCCAAGGTCAATTCCAATCACCTTAGGAGTAGGCAGTGGTAAATACTGTTGCGCGAAATAGCCAGCCAACAGGAGAGTCAGAACAGCTGATCCTGAAATACAGGCAAATTACAAGTTGCGTCTTATCAAACTAGTACAATGTGCAAAATTACAACAGTAAAATCCCTTTACTATCACGCTTCCATACTAGACTAAAAATACTGTCCAAATATTTTCTTTTATAGTACTCACGATAACATTTCTCAAACATCAAGTTTTTCATAATGCAAACTGACTATAATACAATTAAAATGAAGTAACAACAAAAACAAACAAACAAAAAAACCCCTGTATGTTTGTGTGCTTCACTTATGGGTGAGTAAAGGAATAAAAAATAAAAACATTTCGATAATAATTGTGCTAATGCTGACAGGAGAAGTCATTCATCTGGAGCAAAAGCTAGAATATAATCCAATTCTTGATCAAATGATATTTAGATTTTATAGTTTTATAATTAGCTTTAGATATCATTATTAAAAAGAAACTAGCATTAAAATTTCCACAGCAAAAGCTCTGTTATTGTAAACGTGAAACTCTTTATATCCCCTCTCTTTTTTCCTTTCAAAAGGATGAAATGGATAAACTGGATTAAAATAATTTTGGAAATTGCTTAGATATTTTTAAACGGTCACTTCATAACAGAACATAGTTAACTTTTTCTGTATTAAATACGAGTTGAGGACATCTTGCAGAGGTGATATTTCGGAGAAGAATTAAAAGTGTGTAACCCTGATGATAACATAAATGGAAGCTCTTAGAAGTCAGGTTTTAGTCACGCTGTATTCCCTGCACAAATGGTTCCCAGCCAGTAGAAGACTGTTCAATAAATATTAATTGCTGAAAAAGCCAAATACGAACAAACGCCACGCAGACTGTAAACATAAGTGATGGAGAAAGAAGTCAATTCGTATTTACAGCTAACCTGTTATTTGGTTTCAGGAGGCTGTGCTATACACCTGTGTCCGTCCACATTACATACAACTCAAAACACCAATTTGTAGGAGTCGGCTTTACTAATTATTAGGTCATCCTCATCAACACATAATGAAATGACATCAAGTGCCAATCCCACCTTCCTCTTGCCCCTACGTACACATTTTCGGAAGCATTTCATCACCTTCTCCTCCGGAGAGGGTAATTCCTACCCGGATTGGTGGAAAGAACACTGGACTATACATCAAAGAGGTATCTGACTCTCTCAAAATCCAGCATCCCATGAGTCTACAGCTCGGGATGCTGCTGCTGTTCCTCTCCCTTCCTCCACAAAGGGGTCTAGGGATCTAGGAGATGCACATTCTGGCAGCCTCTCAAAGGCCCCAATTCAACCAACGATTCAAAAATCGACGTTGCGTAGGAAAGAACCCTTCCCGAGGCCCAACGTCCCTGGGATGTATGCAGAGGTCGCCGCCGGCCTTACCCGGGCCTACTGCGGCTCGGGCCTTCCTAGAGGCGACCCCCAACCCGGCGTCGCGAACAGCCCCAAACCGCCTCTGAGTCACCTTTCTGGCGCCCTACCCGCTGCGTCAGCGGGATCCAGCAGATGCAACAACGACCCCAACACCCCGGCCTCCCTCAACCGCTCAGGTGCCCGCAACAGCGCAAAGGACCCTCCTGATCACTGACCTAAGATCGTCATCTCTCCGGCCATCACAGTCCCGCCGAAGAGGCTTAGGATGACTGTACCGGACGTGAGGCACCGCCCCCACGCCGCCCGGCAGCCCCGCGCTCCTCTGGGAAATGTAGTCCTGTTGCTCTGACGCGGCCCGAGAAGCTACATCTCGGACCAGAGAAAGGACTTCCTTTACCGTGAGGACGCGGGCATGAGGGCCCCCATTCAACCGCTGCCAGGGGCGCCCGAGCCGCCCTCCACGCAACGGACTACAGAGCCAATTAGGCTGGGGTGGAGGAGCGCTAACAAGAGGGACTGGAGTTTCTAACCAAACCTGTAGCGCCTGGAGCCAACTTGAGGTAAAAACAGTGTTTTTAGCACCGCCTCGCCGCTTTGCCTTCTGGGAAGTATAGTTACGGCCTGACCCATTCGCCTGAGGGACAGTGCGCACCATTAGGTTATTGCGTTTTAGGGTGATGTCCCTAACCAGGCCCAGGATCCAGCGTTTGTTATTTCGTTCTTTCTACCTTTTAAAGCGTTCTCGTTTGCCTGCGATCTGGATTCCAGATTGCGGGGGAGGGGGGGGTTGTCCCAAACATTCCCCCCGCCCCCGCCCCTCGCTCCAGCATCCCTAGAAGAGCCCCTGCCACAGTGCGGGCGTTAGAGGGAGGCAGGGGCTGGCGACCCTGGAACTTGGATACGATCCTCACTCCTGTGCTTTCGTTTTGGAAAAAAGGAATTCGAGGAATCCTCAGTTAATGCGATTTATCCAAAGGAGCAGGGACACATTTTCCTCTATTGCTAACACTGAAGAGGGCCGTTGAAAAGAAAAACGTAAACGAAATACCTTAACTTTCTCTTGAATTAAGTTATAAGTGTCAGGAATTGTTTTCATGCACAAATCACTTAACATGCAATGGCCATTTAGGACACTTGTGAACTGTTTTTCTGGTTCTAGTCTTAAATAGACCCGAGTTTTCTCGCTTCCTGGTCCCTAGTGTACTTTATGTGTGCTCTCCACTTTCGTGTATATTTTAAATGTGTCATAATGTAAAGAATAAAAAGCATGTGTGCCTATAGTGAGTAGTGTTCACTACCATTTCCTTATGAAGAATGCATAATTCAAACACTCAGTTCCTGAATATTACTGGGTATAATGATCATGTTAACATTTATTGAGCACAGTGTTAGCCACTAGTAACAACCAGAAGGAGAGACAGAAGATAAACACATAAATGTAACTTATTATGGTGTGTAACATAATTGCAGTATGGCCATAGGGCAGAAACAGGATTGAATAAAGGCTGTATAATTTTACCTTGAAGAGACGACTTGGTGGAAGATAATACGTCTAAGTAGTACTTTGAAGAGTAAAAGGGAGCCACGAGATGGGTTGATGGGATAATAAGAAGCAGTTGGCTGGAGGTGTTCTAGGAAGAGGGAACTGAATTACCAAGAGTGTGGAGCAGAAGGCAATCTCATAGAAGGCTGCTGGATCATAAAGCGTGAGGTGGAAGTTTCAGAGATAGAACTAGAGGTGTAAACCAAATCAGGAGGATTAGTCATTTGTGGCAGGCACTGGTCATTGCCATTCTCCTTGCCACCCACCCCTTCCTCCTTGCTAATAGGAACAAAAATTACTGGTAAGACTATCCCAGTTGTTTCTCAGGGGTATAGTGATGTTATTAAGAACAGAAAACACCGGAGTTGGGAAATAAGGATGAGGGCAGGGATATGGAAAGAAATGTGGATATACTGATTTCTTCATTTTTCCTAGCAGGGAGTTAATAGGTATTATGTAGAATGGCGAATTTCAGAAATAGAAACATAAGTAGATCATTTAAGTTTATGAAGGCAACTTCCTGAAGGACCAAAAACTGATAAAACTTATAGAAAAAGGAATAGGTTATTAAGAATAAGTGGGATAAAATTAAAATGTACATTTTTTCAGTTTTTCACGGAGGAATGTCAGTATATATAATTTAAAGTTAAACTTTTAAAATCTATATAGCAAAATATATCAACAAAGGAAGCAGTAAAACCAAAAAATATATCAGATGACAGATTTAAGATCAATTTTTATTATATTTATAAATATAAATGGGCTAGACTAAAAACTGGCACATTGTCAGATTTTCTTTTTTTTTTTTTTATGCAGTTGTAGCTATTTATGAGAGAATTTTTGAGTGGATAACTAAATGAAGTTCATAGCTTGAAAATATCCTAGAGGGCAAGGTGGACCTACCCCTTATTTACAGAGAGAAAAATAAAAGGCCAAGAGAAGTCAAGAAAATTATGCTCTCAATTAGCATTCATTCTCTTAATAAATTAAACCTTACCTTCAATTTAGTGATTAGAGGTAGGTAATCTTTAAAAATAGTAGGCAGAGTGAAAATTGTCTAATTATATATCCCAGTAATTCACATTATTATTTCAGAAATGTGCTCCATTAGGAAACTCATTGCCAAATAATTAAAATCTTACAACATATCAATGTAATTCAGAGGACAAATTGCCCTTGTTGTTTAAGAAAAATTCATTCAATGGAAAATTGATCCAGTTCTCTGCACATTCATTAAAAGAGTAAGCATATTGAAATTACAACTTACTGTGCATTACATTTTTAGACTGTATGAAACACTATAATATTTGAACATAAAAAATTATTCCTTTGTTAAAATTATGCCATAACAGGACAAATTTCATTTAATGAACCAGAATATGTGTACTTTTTTTTCTTTTACTAGAGTGTTATGGCTTCATATATTTCTATCTTCTGGGGACTGAACATTTATTACATGAAGATTTTTCATGTAGAGGTATAGTAAGTAATAAATTTGGTTTGTAACTAAAAAGCTGATGCCAGTGTTGTTTTTTTCAAAGAATCTATTACACTTCAGAATCTTTGATAAATGTATTTGCTATTTAGTTTGGAAATATCTTTTATTTTGGATATTGCCTATACGTTTCCAATGAATTTAATTGGAAATATATATTACATATGTCCCCAATAAGTAACATATTGTCTTTTAAAAATATATTTCTGATCAAAGCAAAACATAATAAAAACTCAAAGGCATAAGAAGGCATTAATACTTCTTACATGATCAACAATATATATCCCAAACAATAAACCAGACAAAACTTAGAATTATTACCAGTAAAACTGAGAATGAAATAAGTATACCCGTTTACAACTATTATAGAGCATTGCTCTGGAGTTAACAGCCAGTGCAAGAGAATAAAATAGAAGTATAAATTTGGAGAAAGAATAAAGAAGAAAATGTATGATTCTTTTCTAATTATATAATTATTGTCTTAATTCAGACAACTGTAACAAAATGCCACAGACTGGGTAGCTCATAAACAACAGAAATTTACTTCTCACAGTTCTGGAGTCCAAGTTCTGTGAAGTCCAAGATCAAGGCACTGGCAGATTTGATGTCCGGGAAGAACCTGCTTTCTGGTTCATAGAAAGCTGTCTTGTCTTTGTGTCTTCACAGAGTGGAAGGGACAAGGGAACTCTCTGGAGTCTCTTTGATAAGGGTACTAACCCCATTCAGGAGTGTTCCACCCTCAAGATCCAGTCACCTCCTAAGGTCCCACCTTATAACACCATCACACTGGGGATTAAGTTTTAATATGTGTATGGTAGGGGAACAAACACAAACATTCAGTCTATAGCAATTATATACATGGCAAAATTAGCACACCAAAAATATCTGAGAAACAATAAGAATTGAATAAGGGGCTCCTTTAATAATATTGTGCACAAATAATTTTCCTATATGCAAACAATAACCAGTTAGAAAAATATGGCAGGAAAGATCCTGTTTAATGTAGAAACAAAAAGGTAAAACCCATAGAATTAAATTTAAAAATAAAAGGAGAAACTTTCAAACTCCCCTAAGACTAGAACAATATATTTAAGTAAATGAAAGATAAAACCTTCTTGGATAGGAAAACTCAATAAATTTATTATAGAAAATTTTAAACATACGTAAAATAAATTAATTACATGTACTTTATCTAGATTCAATAATTATCAACTAGTGACTAATCATGTTTTGTATCTATTTCCACCCATTCCCCATTCCATATTAGTTTGAAACTAGTAGAAAATAGATATATTTTTTATCTTTAAATATTTCAATAAATATATTTAAAAATTAATAATTTGCAAATACATATTGTCAAACCCAAATATTAAAAATAATTCTCTACTATTAAGAATCTAGTTAGTACTCAAATTTCCAATTGCTTCATAAATATTATATCGTTTTCCAGTTTGGTCCATTGACTTAGAATTCAAATAAAGTCTACAACTTGCAGTTTTAAAAAAATTGTCCTCCAAGGTTTTGTATAGTCTGAATTTTGCTGATTACATCTCTATGGTATAAACATGTTTGTTCCTTTTGTGTATCTAGTAAAGATTGTTAGTTGGATATGGTGGTTTGATCGAATTTAGGCTCTTTTTTGTTTTGTTCTTGCAAGACTATTTTGTCTTTGGTCATGTGTTTTTCTATTGGAAGGCAAATAATACTTGGTTGTCTCCCTTTTAGTTGATGATTAATGCCCAAGCTCATTAATTTATTAAACATTGCAAAACAATGATATTCTATTTTTCCTTCTTTGTTAGGTGGAATATATTTATAAGCAAGAACTTCTCTCATTTACTATTTGATTACCTAGTGGCATAGTTTATGTCAAAAGGCAAGATTAACGCTTGATTTGTTCTCTTTACTTTCTACTTTTAAAAATAATCAGTTAGCTTACTTGCATCCTCCAGTGGTGACCAGTTAATTTGTTGTTATTGTTACTGTTTTTGTGTGGTGGTATATGTTCCAATCTATTTTAATTATTATCCTTTTAATACTTAGATTTTCTTAACTTTGGCCAGTGGCAGCCTCTTCAAAATTCACTGTTGAGTGCTTTTACCACAACCCTAGTAGGCTTTACTTATTTCCTTGCTACTTGCTCTGAAAAGATGCCTCAGGATCCCCTTATTCTTTTTTTTGCCTCATATTTATTATTAGCCATACCTCCAAGGATCTCTGCTTGGATTTGGTATTTAGAGACCATAATTTGTGAGATAGGGAGTTACTATTTTAAAGATGCAGTTCTCCTTATATTTTTAATTTCAATGAAATATCAAATACAATGCCAGAAGGATATTTTATAACTTGACAAAATGACAATAAAACTCATTTGGAATATTTAGGAATAAGAATTTAATGAGAAAGCCCTTTCACATGTTAAAATAAATGACAAAGCTACAAAAATCAAAACAACTTTATACTATAGAGGAAACAGAAAATAGACCAAAGAAGAAAGTGGCATTTCCTTTAAAATGAGGAGA